TTTGGTTTTGAAGCAAATAACATTTCAATGTCCTCTTTAACACCTTCCACATTTACATAAATTTTCCCTTGAAGATGGTGTTGCAGCAATTGAAAAATATGGTAATCTGATGGTGGCCTATCTGGAGAATATGGTGGGTGGGGGAGAACTTCCCAACCCAACTCCATAATCTTATATTGTATCAAACATGCCACATTTCTGATGAAAGGCTTGATTTGAAACATTCCAGTTGTTGACTATAGATCTTTGCATTGACAGTTCACTGTGGATTGAGGAGTTTGAAATTAATTACTCCTTTGATGTCCCACCAAATGCAAAGCATCACTTTCTGTGGATGGAGTCCAGATTTTGGGGTCAGAAGTGGTTTTTATCTAGGACTGAGCCATTGTTTTTGGCTTTTAGTATTCGCATAGAGAATCCATTTTTCATCACCAGTGACAATTCTGTCCAAAAATGGTTCACGAGCATTACATGCCAGAAGAGACGAAGCAACGTTCACACGTTGGAATCGATGATCATCGAAGAGATTGTGAGGCACCCAAACACCTTCTTTGTGGAGGTTTCCCATATTCCTTAGATGTTTACATATTGTTTCATGAGAGGCATGCAATTTCAGGGCCATTTCAAGAGGGTGTTGCCTTGGGTTAGATTCAACAAGCGTCTTCAGAGCATCAATATCAATTCCAATATGTTGTCTCCTGCCATCACAGTTTTTAAACCTAAAGTCACCTGAACGAAATTTGCTGAACCATCGTTGACACCTACGAATGTTCAAAGCATTTCCGTAAACTTTTTTGATATTCTTTGTGGCTACAGAAGCATTGTTTCTCTTCTTGTATTCAAACAGCATTAAATGCCGAATGTGTGTCTCGTCGTGTGCCATCACTATAAAGGATTAGAATATACTAAGCTTTACACATTATATAGGCTACACTAACGTGACATTTAGGCTGTTCATTTAACTATTACACATGATGCATGTTTTTGAGGGGCAATTAATGAAAGTGTTCCAAAAATGCGACATTAATTTCTTGATGACTTAATACTACCTGTGTAATAATCCCAAGTAAAAATTCTGAAATTTTTTTACCTGATCTTCATTCAGATAGTTAGGTAACCCTCCAATAAATATCTTATGAGGGGAGTCTTGTACAACTGTTGAAACTACACCTAATTATACACAAAAAAATAAGTTACCAAAAAAAAAGGTAAGTGATTTTACAAAATCAAACTTCAATATGCAATCACATGCACCACATTCTTCAAAATGTCTTGAGTTTAATCTATCACTGTAAAAATAATTTTTCTTACAAACTTGTATTGAATATCTTGTTCTATGAATTTTCATTACTAAAGCCCACCAGACTGGGAGAGAAAATCAAAACATAAAACCAGTAACAACAATCGTACATTAATAATTTGTCTGAGAGTAGAACAATACATGAAATATTTTCAAAAAAACACAAATACATAAATTATTTTTTTCTGTTACTCACGAGTTATTGGTTTTTGTTGTATTTTTTTTCTAAAGAACAAATCACAAATATGAAAATACTGAAAAATATAAAGTATTGTACACTTGAACCATTTTCAATATTTTCTTAAATAAAGGAACAGTTGCAAAGCGCTTAACATGATCCACCCAAATCCTTAGCTTGTGAACATCTAAGTGTTTAAATGCATGTTGAAATATTCTAGAAAAAAATCTAAGGTTCTCCACAGAAGACAAATCATATTCACCCAATTTTTCTTCTTTTTTTTTTAATTTCGCGCAAAGATACATAAGGGCTATCTGTGCTAGCCGTCCCTAATTTAGCAGTGTAAGACTAGAGGGAAGGCAGCTAGTCATCACCACCCACCGCCAACTCTTGGGCTACTCTTTTACCAATGAATAGTGGGATTGACCGTCACATTATAACAT